GGAGTAAGGAACTTTAGAATAGCCACAAGTTTGTCAGGATCAACTTGCAAACCCTCACGAGAAATACGGTACCCAAGATAAGTTGTGTCCTTGGATCCAATTATGCACTTCGACCGCTTCAGCTTTAAACCAACGTCGTGTAGCCGATCCAACACTTTACAAACATCACGAACGTGCTCCTCCCACGTCCCCTCCGAGTGGATCAAGACATCATCAATGAAGTCAGCAGTCACCTCCGGCATATCGCAAAGAACCTCATCCATCATCCGCTGGAAAGTTGCTGGAGTATTGTTCAAACCAAACGGCATCACCAAAAATTCGTACAAACCAAATGATGTACGAAAAGCGGTCTTAGGAATATCTTCGTCGGCCATCGGTACTTGCCAGTACCCCGAAGCAAGATCTAGCTTGGTGAACCAACGACTTCGCCCCAGACGATCCAAGAGATCAGCAGTGTGAGGAAGAGGGTACACATCTGGGATCGTCACTTCGTTTAACGGGCGATAGTCGATGCAGAAACGAATACTCCCATCAGGCTTCGTCACAAGATGAGGTTCATATGCCCAAGGACTCCACGACTTCCGAATAACTCCTTTCTCCAACATCTCCTTGACATTTGCACGTAAAATCCGGATCTCCTTGGGTGACCGACGACGAACGGGAACCTTGATTGGACGAGCATCCCCGGTTGGAATTGGATGACGTGTGGCAATCTTGGCCCCAGACGATAGGTCAAATTCAAAGAGATCAGAATACTCCTTCATGAGCCGGTCCACCGCTGCAACACAAAGATCGTCGGAGGGATCAAAAAAGGGAAGAGCAGAACAAGATGGAAATATAGGAGGAAATAGTGGGGGAACAAAAGTAATGGAAGCAAAGGTAGAAGTAGAGGGACGAAGAGGGACAGAAGTAAGAGGAATAAATGAAACATAAGGAAGTATGAGACAAGGGGGAGAAGCCTCAAAGTCACACTTGGCATGATTGCGCTGCAACCAATCCATACCAAGAATGAGGTCAAAAGCTTGACTCGGCACCACTTGCAAGGATTGTAACTCAAGTTCGAGATCGCCCACACACACAACCAGGTCCGCCTCATCCCGTGCACATGCATGTGTACAGCCGTTGCCATAAAGAATGAAAACTGGTTTCGCCACACGACGCAAGTGTAGACGGCAACGTGTGGCAACAGGTCGAGCAATAGAAGATAAACTCGAACCTGTATCAACCAACATGGAGAGAAGAAGAGGAGACCTCTTGTTATAAAAAAGAGCTTGTAAAGTAAACACTAGATGAACTGGTGCTGAGTGAACCCCTTGATGATACTCCCGAAAGAAAGATGGAGGGGTCACTAACTTATTCGCGCAAGGTTCCTCCGTTACTCACGCGACTCCTCATTTCCTGGATGCATCTCGGTGTCCAAACGTTCCACTGCAGCAGCACCAACGGGACGTTGCTGACGCCAAGGTCTCCACCCAGGAAATGGAGGTCGCCAATCCGGAAAATGCCGACAACGCCGATAAGTATGACCAACTTCATCACATACCCAGCAGCGAATATCATAGCCACGACCACATCCTCGCCCTTGTCCTTGGACTCGAGCAGCAGCAGCATCAACCTCCATTGGAACAGGACCATCACCTATAGGAAGAGGAGCTGAAGGACGTGCAGCGAGAAGTGGGAGAGGCGATATCTCATAACATTGTGCCAAGCGAAGAGCATCGTCAAGGGTGGCGGGAGCAAGTGCATGCACAAGTCCGACAAGATCTTGACGAAGTGCTGGCCACAACATTCCTAGCTTGATCCGCTCCAACATATTTGGCTCCGCACGAAGCAAAAGACTTCAGAAACGAACGCCAAATTGCATCACTGACTCAGATGGCCCTTGGCGAAGACGATGCAATTGTTGGAAAGCATCATCATAGTCATCGGCATGTCCGAAGGCGCGTTTGAAGACATCCGGAAGAACACTCCAATCCCCGCAAGTGGCTGCTCCCAAACCATTGTACCACTGCAACGCCGTCCCTTGGAGACACGTGGGAAACTCACGCAAACGTCGAGCATCATCCCAAGAATGATATGTGGCAATCACCATGAAGTGATCGAACCAATGGTACATATCATCCCCAGGATTCCCACGAAAGAACTCCGGCCGAACGCGAGGATTGGCACCAAAAGCAGGAGGAGTTGTACCATGTGCCGTGAACGCCGCCATCAACTGAGTTTGGTTGTTCAATTGCAAGCGCATAGCATCAAGCAATTTGACCAACTGCTGCTCCAGAGTCAAAGGAGGAGATTGCTGATCTGCCATGGAGACGGATGAAAAAGAAAGAGCAAAAGAAGAGAAATGACAAAAAGCTAGAAGGAAATGGTAGATCTAAACAATGCAAAAAGTTAGATCTAAACCAAAATCTTAAAAGGAAATAACAAAAGAAAGGAAATGGAAAAAGCTAGATCTAAACCAAAATCCCAAATCCAAACACTCCTCAGGGACAATCAAAAGTGCCCCTCATCTCCACTAATGTGAGTGCTTGGAATATCGAAAGGGAATATAGAAAATGTGCATATCAATTAGCCCAAAAACCCTAGCTTATATACAGGAGCGAGTGGTCTGGATTGAAACCAATATGACGGCTACCAAAATCCCACTACACTAATAGTAGTATACGGCATCGTAGCCATACACTTGGCCCTCACATCCATTATTTTTTTATTTTTTTATTTTGCCAAAATAATAAAATTATTAGCTAATAAAAGATACGGTGAAATCAACTACTTAATCTCCTTCAAACATTCCACATATTCTTCTTTATCAATAAATAAAAGTTGATAAAGCATATCGTTTTCGCCATCTCGACAGCCTCACCACCATACAGTGAAAGTGCTCCAGATCTGGAGTTACCTACGATCAGCTCATTGCCTGGGTTGCTGTGTCGACCAAGTCAGCATCGCTACACTCAGTGAGGATGAAGTGAAAGCAATCCCGTCCGGTTTTAAGACTTCCAGAACAAAGCCGCAGGTGACCATAACTCGGCAGTCCTTCACAGTACTACATGCTCGCTTTGAGTTGGCCACGGACGCAATGACTTCGTCTCTATATCTGGAGATAGTCAAGTGAATTACCTTCCCAATTGCCAGAGCTGCCCAAGCCTTCAGTTCTGCCACGATAGTTTATCAGCATCCCGGTTCGTTGTGCTGAGCATAGCCGGCAATCAAGATAGTCCACGATGTTGCTTCCGGGGTATTCGTTTAAAACTTGACGAGGCTTCGACACCTTGCATAGAGATTGTCGCGACAAATATAACCTTTGCAGATCGACGAAGCTCTCTGTGTCTTCTTCACTCCAAACACTGGAACAGGCCCTCCACTGCAGTATCAATCGTTTGAGCGTCCAGATCACAGACTCGGTACCTCATGAGACCAAGGCATCGTCAGTTGGTGCCGTTTAGACCACACTAATCCCGCCGCTTAAACCTCTCGAGCACTCGCTATGCTGGTAGCACCGTACTTTCACAAGCTCATAGTCAGAGAATCGTCTTCCTCCTGTGCGTTTAGCACTTTAATCCTCCACTCGGGCTCTTTCTTCTCAGTCAGAGAATCGTCCACCACAACTGCCAGAGGATTTGTCACTTCGATCCGCCACTGAGGGTCCTGAAAGATCGCATTCCTGCGCTGTTTCCTTCGAGATAACATCCATCGCACTAGCAAACAGCACGCAAGCAGCACCAAGATCGCAACCAAAACCCAGAGAAGAAGCGGGAGCAGCGACCAGGGCGTCCTCCGAGCCACTGTAACCACTGCCGCGGGTGTCGGTGTGGCCATCGCTGCGTTGTGACCGTCGCGACGATGGTGGTGGTGGTGGTGGTGGTGGTGGTGGCCTCCATGATGGTGACCATGATGATGGTGGTGGCCTCCATGATGGTGACCATGGTGATGGTGGTGAACAACCAGAGGAGCTCCATCAACGTGATGATGATGGTACACCGCTGCTGCTGGAGCTGGATCGTGGTGGCGAGGCGCTGGAGCTGGATCGTGGTGGCGAGGCGCTGGAGCTCGATCGCCAGGGTGGTGGCCGCGAGCATGAACGAAAGCAGCTGGCGCTGGAGCCGGAGCTGGAACTGGAGCGCCACCTTGAAGAACTGGAGCTAAAGCTGGCGCTGGCTCGTGGCCTCCATGAGATGCTCGAGGACGGTGGTGTCCATGTGCTGCTCGATGCGCTGGAGCTGGAGCTGGAGCTCGCGGGTGTGAAGCTCGGTGATGGCCGCCATGCCAGGGCGCTGGAGCTCGGCGGCCAAGCGTTGGAGGCCCATGATCACGAGAGACCATAGCTTCTTGATGGAGAGAAGCATCCATACCTGACGAAACCGCGCGTTCCGACATCTCGAATAGAAAAATCCAAGCGAGAAAGTATAACCTAACCCTTGACTTGGAAAAAAATAGTAATACTTTTGCCTTTGTGAAAAAAGAGAATGGTTTTTACGCTGTGGATTGCGAGGCGAGTTGGATCCTCCCCAAAGTCATCGTCGTCATGGAAGCGTCCCGGTACTGCTGGTACTCGGTCACCAGATCGTTGGAACTCGAGCTCGTCCATCTCCTCGCCGGAGGAACGCCTTCCGCCGGAACATGAGCGTCAACCTATTTGTAAAACAATGGACTATTCAAGAAGAGTGGAAAAACAAAGCTTGTGTGAGCGGATTCTTAGCTGTGCTTGAGCTTGTCCTTGAATTCCTGCTGGAACTTCTCCAAACACTCGAGCTCCATAGTCAAATTCCTCGAATCCGGAAAAGGAAGAGGGCGAGAAGGAGCAACAGAAAATTCCAAGTTGGGAGAGTTCCATGAAATCAATGAGGTCTGGAGGCTCATCTTTCGTGTTTCCAAGGAGAGAGTGGAGGTCTTGATCTTGTTTGACAGGCGCAGTTGGCTTCGTTGCTTCATTTTGTGCAACACCAAAGAAGACAGACGCGAGCAGCTGTGCCTGATGATATACAAGCAGGAAAAGACTAAAGACGGCGCTAGCAAGTTCGCTTCTGCTGCCGAACTTGCAGATCATCGTCCTCCGGAACGCCCGCCAGCAATCTTTCAGTGTTTCCCAGCTGATCGCCTGCCTAGAAATATTTTCATAAGCGTCACCAGCGTTGCTCGTGAAACTTACTTGCCGGCACCGCTGATCAAGTATCTTCCAGATTATAAAAGCTCCCAGAGGCATCTCCAGACAGATGCCAAGCAGCACTACGGGAATTAAAGCCCATTTTTGTGATCCTGATCATGAAATCAACAAAAAGCAGGAGTTTTAAATCCAATCGAAAGAAAAAAATCAAGGCAAAGGACGAGAAGTCACCGGAAACGGCTGAATCGCTTGAATCACATGACTTTGGATCATCGATTTGTATCTCGCGAATCAACCGGTTCCCGCGATCGGCTATGAGTAAGGAGCCACAAGAACACGCCAACCTAAACTCGCTTGAGAAACGAGCTGTGTCTCCGGGGCCATCGGCAAAGCCTGGCTTTCGAGAGCTACCTCCGGCAATGGTGGTCACTGTTGGAAACAGAAAAAATGTTCTAGAGATTTTTAAAAGGGAAAACGAAACTGCCTTCGCCATCCTTGCTGATTTTGCGTATAGCCAAGTTCCTCGTATCCGCCACAAAGACCGCGCCATTGTCACAAATAGCAAGGCTTTGTGGGCGATTAAAAAGTGACTTTGCCGCGGGGCCGTCGACATAGCCGGACTCCCCCACGAGTGAACCGGCAAGAGCTTCCAAGCTGCTATCTAGAGGAAAAAAAAACTCTTACGCTTTATAAGAAAAGCCTCTAGTGCTTACTCCAGTCGAGAATTCCCCGTGCAGCGAGTGGTGCCTCTTCCAGATCGTCAGCAGCGTGCGAGAGTGGCAGTCTCAGCTTCCATATACGATTGCCACTAGAATCGAGCGCCAACACAAACTTGTTCCGCAGGTCCATATACAAGCCAAAGGCATTTACCGAGTGCTTGTCGAGATCAAACAAGGTCTTGACAGTAAACCCAGAACAAGCAAGAAAGTTAAACTCACTAGCGTCATTAGCAAGCGAGGCGAGCAGCAGCGCTCCGATGATCCAAGCCGAGCTGTTCTTCATATCATGCTCTAAAACGTTTAGCCTGAGATGGTTAGAAGATCCATTTCCTATGTGGTTAAATACTCTTGAATCATAATTGAACTGTGTGTTCACGCCATTCGCAAGCTAAAAAGAGTTATCATCAAGCAAGGCCGTGGAAACACATGGATTTTGGTACTAGGACCATTCATGAACAATGGATAAGAACAACTAAGATCCATCGAGAAGGTATGCTATATATGAAGAAGCTTTAAGATTATATTATGATGTTGCCAGTTCTGGTGGGTGATTATCCATATCGAGCACTAATTCTATCAGATCATTGCAATGATTTCATCCCAAAATATCACATACGTCCCACTCCCAGATCAAGCATGGAATGTTCAAATTCAAGGCTGAAAGAGATTGTGATGGGAATGGCACAACTGCTGCCAAGCATGTTATACAAGGTCTTTGTGAAATAGGTTTACAGTGAACTTTCTATTTGCAGATCCTAACCACTCATAATCAGCTTAAAAGTTTAAATTGTCATTTTCATTGAGAAGCTCTTTGTTAACTAATCTATAACAATCTAGATAGCATTATTTCTTTAAAATATTTTGTGCAAATTAGTGATAAAGGCTATTGAAATGATATCTCATTTATCTCATTTGTTTAGATAAAAAAGTTATTTGTAAATAATTAAGGAGAATAATTTGAGAAATTATTCATTAAGGTTTAAATACAAAGAGATTTAGGATCTTAGGATATTTAGTGCTAAGCATTTTTTAGTTTAAATACTACTAATTGCCCAACCTCACTCAATAGTACTTGCTTCCAATTGGGTATCCTCTCTTGGTTAATTCTTGCTAATAAAGAGGTAAACATTTTATTTTATGTATTTTCCTAGGTAGAGGAAAAAAAAGAATCGTAGGTAAAATGGAGTTATGCCTAAGTTTAAGCATTCAAAGAAAAAAGACTTGACCTAGGCAACACTCATCATAGACAAGCGTGAAGCAATTAGGAATGGTTATAAAATTATATAATATATAAATAACACTTAAACATGTTGGAAAATAACCCCTCATTTATTATATGCATTTGCATTGAATTAATTATCTTTTCTCCCATCTATAACTCTTTATGCAAAGTAGAGTTGAGAGAGTGATATATGATTATCTTTACTCATAAAAAGAATAAAGAGTACTCAAAATTAAATTCTCTTCTATTCTCTTCTCATTCTTCTTTAATCTACATTTTTGTTTTTGTTTATTTGTCACTATTTTTGCAAATAGGGGTAAGAACGTGAGTATAAGCAAAATAAGCTTTACTCACTTTTGGTGATCATGGTGGGATAAACTGTTACTTTTTGGCTTCAAAAACAGCTGGGGAAAAATTATTTATGAATTCCAAACATGTTTAGCACTAGGAAGCACAAATAGATCTCTTTAGTGATTGTAGAAGCTTTAAGCCCAAACAATATTGAATGAAAGAGCTATTTTTTGTGATTGTAATGGCTTAGTGTTATGATAACACAAGAACAATAGTTTTTTAACCATCACTTAAGCTATAAAGTATGGGACAAGTTTAAAATTGACACAAATTGAAGTTTGGAAAAACTATAGTGCATATGAATTTGGAGTTGAACTCCAAGCCCATTGCACTTCAAAACGAGGGTCCAGTACAACCCCACAAGCACCAACTCCCCGTATCTAGGATTTACACGCAAAATGGTGTCAGACGGTGTCTAGCACAATTTTGGCATACCGATGCCCTAATGTAAGGAGGGTACTCCACCGACTGAAGTAGCATGGAGCTTGAGTTCAGGCCTAAGTTGGACGTAGAATAAGGAACGACACAGCCCAATGTGAGCCAAACTAATATTTAAGATGGTTGGACATGCATTCCAACCACTATCCCTACTATACATTTGGAACTACCCATAGCCGCCCCCCCCCCCCCCCCCTTGAGGAATATATACTTTGGGCTTTTACCCCAAGCCTCCCTTAGTTCCAAGAGCTAGTCTCTGGGGACAAGTTTGAAACTTACTAAATATGGAATGTCTTTATATTGCGAATTTGGATATGGGATAAACACTATTGTGTTCAAGCTAATCTTTACATTCCGTAGATATGCCAAATTAGCAAATCTAGACACTTTCCATAATTAGCCAATAGAACGAGATAAAACCAATACAAAAGGCATGATAGCAAGGGTGTTTGGGAGAATGTAATGATATTGAGAGATTAGACTCAATATCAAGGGGGTTCTTAACACTAGCAACTGCAAGTCAACGAATGAGTTTCTCTAATTAGGTCAAGTATGCTTGACAAATACGGTGTTTGGGCCGGATGAAAAGCTAGTTGAGAAACTAGTCAAACAAGTATAAGAACAAAATTCCTGGGTGGAGACCATAAAAGGAACCAGCAGTATTGACCTCTTACCGTCGTGGTAGTAAGGAAAGAGTGTTCGTTAGGACTGGCCGACAAGTATCTTTCAATACCCGAAGTCACATTTGCAACAAGGACATAACTTGGGTCGATACTATTGCACTAAACTTTATTTTCCTTTAAAAAGTTACCTAAGTTGTTTAGTTTGGTATATATTGCTAAGCTCAAGTTCAAATTTTTTAAGTAGTAATTTCTTGAGAAAAATCTAAAAGAAGAAATAATGGAATTTAGAAAACACAATTAACTACTATAGAATTCTTTTTTTCTGAGCAAGTTCTTACTTGAGCTTTTAGAAGATATATTTTTCAGCAATGTGTCATAATTTTTTTAGGCATAGATAAATAAGAAAATTGGACACCTGTAACTCTTGTCATTGGCTCTAACTTAAAGAAAGCTAAAGTTAGCCTTTGTAGCGCATGTGATCATGGGATGAGATTTAGATATACTGTCACCATGGATCCTTGGAACGTTAGGGGATAAATGGGGATAAAATAGCTACTAAGGGCTCTCTCATTAAGCAATTGCCCCTTTTCCAGTTGGCTTAAGGGGAGAGAGATAAGGTATGCTACAGTTGGTATCGGAGCAAATGGCATGGGTTCGATTCCCATTGATTAGTGGCTACTTAAAAATATAATATACCCTTGAGCAAAGTATATTCCTGCCCCTAAATTTGAAATCGTATGTATTGGGCATCCATGCGTACGGCCTTCCTCTTGGTATCGGAGCAAATGGCACGGGTTCGATTCCCATTGATTAGTGGCTACTTAAAAATATAATATACCTTGAGCAAGGTATATTCCTACCCCTAAATTTGAAATCATACGTATTGGGCATCCATGCGTATGTCCTTCCTCTTGTGTGGAGTATCCACAGACGAAGGTATCCACCTAAATTTGAAATCGTACGTATTGGGCATCCATGCGTACGGCCTTCCTCTTGTTTGGTATCGGAGCAAATGGCACGGGTTCGATTCCCATTGATTAGTGGCTACTTAAAAATATAATATACCCTTGAGCAAAGTATATTCCTACCCCTAAATTTGAAATCATACGTATTGGGCATCCATGCGTATGTCCTTCCTCTTGTGTGGAGTATCCACAGATGAAGGTATCCACCGTGGGACTACGGTACGGGTGGATGACTAGTTGCCTCATATGGAATAGTTAGTCTACACAATGGAAGGATTAGTAGATTCAATGCGGAAATAGAGGTGCTGGTTCCCCTTGGCTTAGTAGGGGTTATTAGTCAATAGTCAATGAGGACATTGACATCTCTGAAGAGGGGGTGAGTGTAGCGCATGTGATCATGGGATGAGATTTGGATATACTGTCACCGTGGATCCTTGGAATCTTGGGGGATAAATGGGGATAAAATAGCCACTAAGGGCTCTTTCATCAAGCAATTGCTCCTTTTCCAGTTGGATTAAGAGAAGAGAGATAAGGTGCACTACAGTTGGTATCGGAGCAAATGGCACGGGTTCGATTCTCATTGATTAGTGGCTACTTAAAAATATAATATACCCTTGAGCAAGGTATATTCCTACCCCTAAATTTGAAATTGTACGTATTGGGCATCCATGCGTACGTCCTTCCTCTTGTGTGGAGTATCCACGGACGAAGGTATCCACCATGGGACTACGGTACGGGTGGATGACTAGTTGCCTCATATGGAATAGCTAGTCTACACAATAGAAGGATTGATAGATTCAGTGTGGAAATGGAGGTGCTGATTTCCCTTGGCTTAGTAGGGGTTGTTCAATGAGGACATTGACATCTCTGAAGGGGGGGTGAGTGTAACGCATGTGATCATGGGATGAGATTTAGATATACTGTCACCGTGGATCCTTGGAATCTTGGGGGATAAATGGGGATAAAATAGCCACTAAGGGCTCTTTCATCAAGCAATTGCTCCTTTTCCAGTTGGATTAAGGGGAGAGAGATAAGGTGCACTACAGTTGGTATCGGAGCAAATGGCACGGGTTCGATTCTCATTGATTAGTGGCTACTTAAAAATATAATATACCCTTGAGCAAGGTATATTCCTACCCCTAAATTTGAAATTGTACGTATTGGGCATCCATGCATACGTCCTTCCTCTTGTGTGGAGTATCCACGGACGAAGGTATCCACCGTGGGACTAC